TTGAGTTGCATTGGTGTGTACACGTGATCCAGTTCAATGTGCCTGTTGATTGAGTTGAATGAGGAGTGCCAAGCTTCGAGAAATTCCCTGGCGTGTTTTGACCGGGCTTGGTCGATAATTCTCACTGATTCGAAGTCAAATTGATGCCCTTCTTGATCTTCGTAGAGGGAAATCAAAGATAGTGAATCATGTCTTTTGACTGCCGCTTGGTGTTCACGGATCCTTGTGGACAGTCCGCAAGGAGCTACGAGAACCAATTTTCAATACTTTGTCAACGGAATTCACTCTTGTGCGGCCAAATAGTAATGACACCTACGAGGGAACCACATTTAATTTTGAGAATAATAGAGATGAAGCCCTTCACGTTCGTTTACCTCTCCCGTCTTCAGCGTCTAAATGTAATTTAATATCGTAGCTCTATTACGAGTTCACAAAACAAGTATACCACCTCTATGTGTGACTTTCGGATTGACCTGCTACCATCAGGTCAGCCCAGTTTTCATCGATAGCATTCTATCCACCAATCAAGCCAATGTCCTTTATCGTAAATGACCTGTCTAGGTTTGTCGCCAATTATTTTGCTGACCGTTCTCCACGGACCTTCAGCTTTGTTGTTTAGTACAATACCCACTAGCTGGTATCGTGAACGATCTTCATCGTCAATGATGTATCGGTAAAAAGTATCCTGAAGACAACTGTGGCATAGTACTAGGATCCTGGATTGGCGTTTCAGATACGCCACGAGTATCGATTTATAGAGAGTCTATTATTCATGTCATGTAAGCCTGTTCACTGAGGTTCACGAGAATCCTCATTCTAAAGCCTCTGAGATTCTCAGGTTGAATTTTCATTCACTGCATCGCCTACAAACGTTTTTTGACAGCGGTTTTGGATGAGTGATAAGAAGTGGTCTGAGCAAATACGAAAGATCGATAAGAAGAGCAAAGGAATAAAGCTGTAAGTCGAGTGGTAGCCTACCTGTCACCATACATCCCACTCAACAGATTGGGCATTACGCTTATAATTATTCTGCGGTAAAACCGACGTAGTGTGCAATTTGTTTTGGTTAGCGATCATGGTAGCTTCTTAAATAAACAAATTGTGTGAAGGTCAAGTCCGAAAGATAATCAGTTCAAATCAATCAATATGAATTATCCCACACCACCAGTCACAGGTAACTGTGAGTTAAATGCGAATACTCTATATGGCTTGTTAATTCATGCAGGTTCAAAATTCGTCATGGTGCGGTTCATTCGTGCACATTAATCACACACATCCATCTGAGGTTACGAGTATCACAGAACCAATGATTTCAACACGTATTTAATTGTTTCCGTTCTATTTTAACATAATTAATCAAACAGCGATGTGATAGAACATACCTAAGCTGTGCGGCAACACCGATTGCAACAACTACTCAAATGGGGGTAGGCTTTGGCATACACAGTCAATCTCCTACTACGTCGCACCCCTCGGGCATTCGGTAAAGTGGGTAAATATCAGGAATTGCGACATAGCAGGGTCACCATTAGTAGGTGCTAATAAGTAGTATAAAAATCGGTTGACGGTTTTGTGACAAAATAAACAGGATCGATGAAAAGTAGGTTAATCCCGTTATTTGTTCACAATAGTTACGATTATAAACTCTTTATTTATAACGGAATTTAGATCTACCGTCCTGCGTAGCCTGTATATATCGCAGACATTTGAATATTTTATGACGCCCTCAGCCGGTACATTGCTTCCGGCATTCATCCCTTTTCAATTCTGTGTCTAGCTATCCCGAATCTACCAACCTTTCTTCAGGGGAACCTTTTCTGACCCAATTAT